TGTCTAGGTAGCAATTTTTTTGAAATCTACCTGGAGGTTTTGGTGGACTTTAAGCTCAATATGAACTGATTATATAATAAGGCATCCAAGAAAGCTATTTCAACTTTTGGTTGCATTCAGAAAGGCACAGAGCGTGTCCAGGACTAAGGTTTGTGGTAGTAGCACTACAGCATTCGGCCTTGTTCAACCCCTGTCAGGAATTATGTATTCAGTTCTGAAGTGCCACGTTTTAGGAAAGACAATGTTAAGTTGAAGACTGTCGGGAAGAGGGTAACCAGGAAGCTCCAGGGCCTAAAGTACATGCCATGTGCCATAGTGCCTGCCACATAAATACTTGTTGACTATTGACTGATATGTGGGGATCTGTTGAAGGAACTGGGGTGGTTTAACCTGTAGAAGGGGGATATAGTAGCTATCTTCAAGGGTTTGAAGAGCTGTCAAATGCAAAAGAGAAAAGTCAGTATGTGCCAGTAGGGATCCTTATATAAGGTTTAATGACTTCATTTCTATTTGAGTTTGACTTAGAGCACTGAGAGGTGATTGGATATGTCCAAGGTTACACAACCAGTATGTGTCACAGGTGAGAGATGAACTCAGTTTTTCATGGCTTCAAAGTCAGTTTTCTCTCTGCTATGCTATAATGCTGATGTCATTATGAATTACTTGGGATAGAAGAAAGGAAAGGATTGAATGCCCATATTTCTCCCTGACATTTCTACAGTGCTTTAAGGGTTACAAAGCACTTTCTTCATAAGAGAAGGCAGTAGGAAATATGAGTGTTATTATCTCCATTTCGTAGATCTGTAAATGGAGTTTCTGGTTGAGAGAGGTATAAGCAAAAGGGTAGCCTTCATCCTTCCTTTTGTCTGTGCTTTCCCCATACTGAAAGAGTACCTAACTTGGAAAGTTCTAACTATACAAGCATCTTTTGCATCTGTGGCTATGGAAACTTCCACTTACCTTCTTTATCAGGAGTCTTACAGGCTTAGTAGATTTCAATTTGTGTCTTTCTACCACCACTACATTCACCCCCAAGGCACCATGCTTCAATGTTTGTATAACCTGTTAGCCAAAGGGATGACATGATCAATATATCCCTTTCACTTTGGGAAGGGATAAAAATTTGTTTTCCCATCCATAATCTTATTTACTAATAAGTCAGACTTCTTTGTTTTTTATTGCTGTCCTTTTTTGTTTTCTTTCTTTAATTTTTTTTGAAATCTTTTGTTTTTGCATGCTCATTATTTCCAAATACATCCCTTCTTCCCTCTCCTCCCTAACCAGTTATCCCTTGTAACCAATGATAAAAGAGAAAGAAAACAGTTCCACAAAACCAACTCATACATTTATTTGATCTGATAGCATGGCAATATTACATACCCAGGTGCCAACCTATGCAGGAGAGAGGTGGTAGCTCCCATTTTCATATGTTTTAAAGTTCACAACAACCCTGTGAAGTAGGTAGGGCAAGTATTATTATCTCCAGTTTAAATTGGAGAAACTAAAGGTTACAGAAGTGAAGAAATTTGCCCAAGGTCACATAACTAGTGTCAGAGTTAATTGGCACCCAGGTCTGTTGATTCCATGTACTAGACCAGGGGTGGGGAACCTGTGGCCTCAAGACCACATGTAGCCTTCTAAGTCCTCAAGAGTGGCCTTTTGATTGAATCCAAACTTCACAGAACAAATCTTTTCATTAAGTGGATTTGTTCTGTGAAGCTTGGATTCGGTCAAAGGGCTGAACTTGAGGACCTAGAGGTCCACATGTGGCCTTGAGGCCACAGGTTCCCCACCCCTATTAACTATACCTTTCCTCACAACAGTCCTGCGGAGTGTAGGCAGGAAATACATTATCCTTTCATTTTACGAATGGAGGAAATTTTCTCAGAAGAAACTGTGGCCTGGTAGGTGAAGGATTCCATGTCAAAGAGTTAGTCAGCAGCACAGCTTGGAGAACTCAGGTATCCTATCTCCTCCCCTCCTGGATTACTGCCTTGTGGAGCTGGAGGGGCTTGAGCAGCTCAATGAAACTATGAGCTATGCCATGCAGGGTTACCCAAGACAGCCAGGTCATAATGGAGAGCTCTGAGAAAAGGTGATCCACTGGAGAAGGAAATGGAGGACAAACTACTCCAGTATCTTTGCCAAAAAAACCCCATGGTTACTATTAAAGCGCTAAAAGATATGGCATTGGAAGAGGAGCCCGTCAGGTTTGGATGGTGTCCTGCTGGGACAGATTTCTGGAGACAGTGGAGGACAGAAGGACCTGGAGTGCTATGGTCCACGTGTCATGCAGAGTTGGACACATCTGAACAACAATACTGTCCCCTAGTTAGGTTGTCTGTCTAAATCATAAGATTTAGAGCTAGAAAGAACCTTAGATATCAAATAGCTCAATCCCCTTATTTCACAGAGAAGAAACTTTGGTTAGGAAAAAGTTAACTCTGCCAAGATCACACAGGTATTTAGTAGCAGAGTCAGAATCTGAAATCTAGCTGTGTGATTCTAAATCCTGGTGGTCCATTTCCTTTCATTCAAGCAGTAGACTGAGGGTGGACAACCAGTCTGGTTTCTTGAAACTGAAGGGGGAAAAATAAGAAAAATACAGAAACTGATTCTAAGCATATAATTCTTCATTTTCCCCACCTTAAAACCTGAAACAAGGAGGTAAGCCCAGGCCCCAGAGAAGGAGGAACTTAACAGGAGGGACAGATGAGGAACATGTTTTCAGGGCATTCTGAGAGGTTGGAGAATAGAAGGGTCTTTTGGTAGTGTGGTGGGTAAACTGAGAGAGAGAATTAGGTGGATGGTTATCCAGATATTGTTGTGGTAAACATGGTGATAAAAAGTGTCATCCCAGATACAACACTGAGAGATTTTTTTTTTCAGCCTGCCTCCAACTGTCATTCCTTTTCTCTCCTCTCCTGTGGATACTCTGTAAAATTTCTTAGGTATATATTTGTTCAAGGGACAAGCTTCAGAGTTCATCATATTTCTGTAGCACTTTAAATGTTGCAAAACCTTCCTTCAGTACAAGTGTTAAAAATGACCTCGAGTGCTGGGAAGGGGCTTGGGAAGGCTGGCGTCCTGGGGGGCTACATGGCGTTATGGCAGTTAAAGTTGGGGGCCATCAGAAGTTTCTGGGAGCGCTACTCCCTCGTCAAACTGTCTTCCCCTTCTTCCTACCTCCTAGAGACTCCAGAGAGGAAGGGGTTGGGGGACTAAATTCCTCACCTTATACTTTTCCATTATAATTTCTAGTGTAAGACTCGACTTTCCTCCTTCACTTGGGGTCGGCAGAGGGCTGCCGGAGGGGGGAGGGGGCGGCGAGGAGGGTTCGATCCCCTTCCGTCTGAGGCTCTCCCCGCGAGGAGCAAGCCCAGGCACACCCCCTCCCCAGCTCCCCCGTGTTTCCCACCCTACGTCTACCTGAACTTATCTGTCTGATTCCATCCACATTCACAGATGCTCAAGCGAGGTCCGTCGGCTGCTGGCTCCTCTCCCACTTGCCAGCCCTCTAGCCTGTCTTGCCCCAGGCACTCAGCTCTAGCCTCCTCCTGTGCGCCCAGTCCCGAGCTGGGGAGGTGGGCTCCTTTCCATCTGACGCCCAGCAACCGTGAGTGCTTAGAGGCGCATCCCGCCCGCTAGCTCAGCTATGGTCCGACCCAAACCTCGTCTACACGCAGGCAGTTCTAAGTCCTCGGGCCTCCTCTGCGGCACTCAGGCTGGATCTGTCAGCCTGTCCTAGCTGTCTCTGACCTTCTCCGGGTCATTCTGCTCTCAAGCCTGAGTCAGACTTCCCCAGGGGCACCACGTCTCGGCTCAGGAATCCTTGGGTCTGACACGTGGAGAGAGGAGATGGGCAAAGCCAGCCTGGCTGTTAATCTGAGTCCTGTCTCAGGTACGCGTGAGGGGCGTGGCATCCTTGCTGCCCCAGGACCGTTTATTTGTCCATCCCCAGGCATTCTCTCTTCATTAGAAAGTGAGTTCCTTGAAAGCTGGGGTTGCTTTTCTATTTGTATCTCCAGCACTTAGCACAATGCTTTGCACATAGCAAGAGCTGAAGAAATGTTTTTCATTCATTCATTCGTTCATTCATTCAATCATTTCATAAGGACTGAATACTTCACATTACTATCCCTTTCCCAGTCTGGTACAGTGCAAACTGCCCAGGAATCAAGGGCCAGGATACGAATCTCAACTCTGTCACTGGTGTAAATTTGGATACTTTTCTTTTGGGGCCTCAGTTTCCTATCTGTATAGCGTTCTATTTCCCATTAATGCTGTGTCCCTCACCCTCAAACACTACTTCCCCGTCCCTATTAGCTCCCTTTAATATCTGTGCCGGCCCAATGTTTCCTCCCTGTGAGCCTCGCTTTATAACTTGCTACCTCCATTCATTCATTCATTCATTCCATAAAGACTGAACACCTCATATCACTATCCCTCCCCCATAGCGGTAGAGTGTAAATTGCCCAGAATTTGGAGTCAAGGGCCAGAGTCCTCATCCCAGCTCCGCCACTCATTTGTGCAAATTTCTTTTGGGGCCTCAGTTTCCCCATCTGTAAAGAGAGAGGAGTGGCCTAGAATGATGAGACTGGAAAGAGTAGTGGTCAGAAGACCTGGTTTCGAATCCCCGTCTGGCCGTTTACTAGCTATGTGACCTTGGGCAAGTGACTTCTTCTCTCTAGGCTGAGGTTTCTGTGAAAGGAAGGGGCAGCCCTTCTTGGACCAAATACTTGGAAGGGTCGGGGGAAGAACCTTCCGCCGCCAGCTCAGCCGCCCCGGCCTCGCCCCGGGTAGCTTGGGAGCCCGAGTCCGCCGCGGGCCCTTTAAGGGCGCCCCCTCCCCCAGGCCAGGCGCCGGGCCGCGCTGCGGCCCCTTTAAGACTTGGCCTACGTGGCAGAAGCAGGAGCCGCCGCCGCCGCCGCCGCCGAGGAGGCCGAGGCCACTTCCTGTGGAGGCCGCAGCGGGAGCGGGAGGAGGAGGAGCCGCCGCCAGCGCCACACGGGAGGGAGCCGGAGCCGAGCCCTCCCGCCGCCGCCGCCGCCGCCGCCGCCATGGGCCAGAACGACCTGATGGGCACCGCCGAGGACTTCGCGGACCAGGTGCGGGGCCGGGCGGGAGGGGCGGCGGGGCCGGGGGCGGGGGGGCCCGGGCCGCGCCTCCCCCAACCCGCGGGGCCCCGCCCCAACCCGGGCCCCCCGGGGCGCGCCCCCTGCCCACGAGGGCCCCGATCCTGGGCCCCCACCTCCTGACCCCCCCAACCCCCGCCGTGCCCCCCAGAACTCTCAGCTGTTCTCACACACTGCCCCCCCACCCTCAGAACTCCCCTTTGTACCCTCATTGCTCCGTACTGCGCCCCCCACTCCAGCGCTCCCTACCACTTCCCCATCCCCAGAGGTCCCTGCTTCGCCTCCACCCCAGAACTCCCCACTGTACCCCCATAGTGTGCCCCTACTACTGTGCCCCCACTTCCAAATCTTTCTACTGTGCCCCCACCCCCAGAGCTCCCTATTGTGCTTCACTTGATATTGTGTGCCTCACCCCCAAAACTCTCTGCGGTGCCCCCAGACTTTGCTCCTGTGTTCTTCCTGATCTCTGCTTTCACCCCAGACTGTTCTGCCTTCCATTAATGCTTTGTCCCCCACCTCCAAAATCCTCCTGCCCCCTCCCTGTTAGCTTCCTTTAATATCTGTGGCCCCCCCAACATTACCTCCTTTTATGCTGTACTGAGAGAGCCCCTTCTTCTGCCCTGCCACCCCTCCCCAGGGCTCTCTACTGCTACCCTGGATTTACTCTCAACACTGATCCTCCAGCCCCCAGAACTGTACCAGCCCCCTTTCCATAGAGCTCCTTCATCTCACCGCTACCTATTGCCCTCCAACTTATGAGCCCTCCTGGTCTACATTGTGCCCCCCAGTGCCTTTACCACCAGTTCTGCCCTCTTGGGAGGCACACACCCCCCTTACTCCCTAGAGATTTCTCCCCTCTCTGTGAACCAACTCTGCTTCCAATAATGCCTACCATGCCCCCCAGGCCTTTATATTCTGGGTCTTGCCCTTTTCCTTCACCTATTTAAATAATGCTATTCCAGTTCTCAGTGTTTTCTGTACTTTATGTCCTATCTCCAGAGCTGTGAACCATTTCTAGAATGCCCCCCTGACCTCAGCCTTTCTATATTATTCTTAATCCAGGTCTCTGTAAGCCTTTCATTTCTATTTCATTTCCCCAGGCCTTAATATGTGTCCCTTACTCCCAGTTCTTTTTCCTAGCCCTTTCTGTTGCCCCCCCACCAGCCCCCCACCTTCCCTCAGGGTCTCTAATATTTTTGTTCTATAATATTTCCCTAAGGTCTCTCTAATATCTTTGGATAACAATCCCTTTTTTATAATGCCTCTGCCTCAAACCCCTTATATAAAGTTCTCCCTGTTCCTTACTGTAATGTTCTTTGCCCCTAAGGCCTTTTTTCTGTTCTTAGTACTCCCCTAACAATGTACACTTGCTCAGTAAATTGCGACTGGAGCTAGGCCTCCACATTTCCCCGAGTTTCTCTGGGTTTTTACTCTTGTATTCCAACCCTACTATTATTTGAGCAGAAGGGCTCTGGTGAAACGGGACCTCAGCTTCAGAGCAGGTAGGCTGAAAGGCTTAGGTTTGGGGGATGGGGCAGTACATAGGGTGGCTCAACTTTCTGACTCTACTCTTCTAAGAGCTAGTTAGTCAAATCTTTGAGATTCTTTGGGGTTTGGTCATTTCAGGATTAAAGGATATGGCTCCTTCTACTCCTTTTCTACCTACTCCTGGGTACTGTCTGGGTCTGTCTGGGTACTCTGTTCTTCCCCATCCCATCCCATTCCCTTCCCAGAAGGGAAAAAATCCGCTGGACTAGAGGTGATACTGTTAGGGAAAGGGCTAAAAGGTCGGGGGCAATCTGATTCCAGAGTGAGCAAGATGTTCTGTCCCTTTATCATTTCCCTTGGATCTAGGTTATGCCTCTGGAAGGCCCAGGAGGTTTGATCTAGAACATGTTCAGTCAGATTGTAGGTCATAGGGGATCAGATTTATACTCTTAAACCAAAATCAAAAGGAAACCAGGCCTCAACCCTGCCTTGCACCTCTTTTGAAATATCTAACAAGCATCCACTCTCTGCTAGATGAGCTCTGAACAAAAGGGTCTCTCTGATTGTATGTGTTGGGTGGACTGCCCTTCATCCATTTAAACAGGCAATTGCTATGTGTGCCTGCTGAAGAGTGTGCTAGGCCAGTCTTCCTTTTTCCCCTCCTTTTCAAGAAGTGTACAGGTGGCAATCCTGGGAAAACCTTGAAACAAATAGATAATTGAGCAATTGTTAAAAGTCCTTAAAACAAGATCAGCAAGATCAAATCCTGAAGGGGAGGGCTGGCAAAGCTGCCAGTATCACCCATTTGGCAAAATTAGCACAATAATGACTTGAATGCAGTAGTAGTCTGATATATTTACAAATTGAAAAGTAGTTTAAAATCTGTGTAAGCAGATATTGGCCCAACCCTGTTCCCATTACTTGCACTTTCCCAAATCCTCTGAACACATATGGAGTTTTGCCAGAGTAAAAAGTAGTAAATAGGTGGGTTAATTAAAGTTTTTTCTCCTTAGGCATATTGAGCCAAGGTTAGACTATAAGTGCTAGTTTTGCTTGGAGGAATTTTAATTGTGGGGTTAATATTAGTATCTCTGCTTTCCAAATTAGTTATGGAGTATGAATTTTATAATTGGGGAAACCTTCCAGTCATTCTTCATCCCTGGGTTTGTATCCTCATTATTAGGTTTGTATAATTCGCCTTCCTTATGTACTGTCGTTTTGGGGCAGAAAAGTATGCATACTAACATAAAGAATTGGTCTCTGCCTAAATTACATGTATTTTTGCCCCAGATCTGTCAGAAAAAAAGACCTTTTTAGTGGCACCATTTTGTTTCCCAAATATCAACTTGCTAAAAGAATTTGCTCCTTTTAGAGCTATGGGACCCGTATACCATCAACTTTCAGCCTGTAGAACAACTGTTTTGCAAGTGAAATTTCATTTCATAACAAAGTCTCTTCTAGCTATTGCCTAGATGAAACTGTTTCATTCTGCTACTCAAAAAAAAAAAGGAAATTTTATTTAATTTACTGCTTTATGTAATTTTTTTTGTTTTATTTTCTATGTTTTTTAAAGAAATTTTTAATGAAGTAAGCCATTAGGAATATATCAGGTCCTCATGTGATTCCTTTTTTCTCTTTTTCTTCCTTTTCCTTCAGAGGCAGAAATTAAGAAAAAATTGTCAGTAATAAATTAGAGTAAGACAGTAGCCTAGTGTATATTGGCTATTGTAAATTATATATTGGACAGGGCTAGAATATGTGTTACAGGTTTATTACTGATTAATGCTTGAGCATCTTCAGTCCACAGAGAACTGATGTCACTTTACTAGTTTAAGGTGAGTCCTTATAACTGTCCTTTTAACACCTTGTGTAAGTTCAGTAGAGTCAAGTTCTCTATCTCTTTTAAAGAATAAAGGGAAGGAGCTTTTTATTGCTTCTGGTAAGATGGAAAGCATTAGATATGTAAGTGATGCCAAAATGACATTTCTTTGTGGGTGGCTTTAGTTTTCTTAGAACCTTCCATCTCTAGCACTTACAACACAGCTGACAGTTTCCTGCTGACTGCTCTCCCCCCCCCTTCCTAACCCCCTAGATTTCTCATCTTACATAGCAGGGAATGCTATATTAAATGTGGCTTTTAAGATGGATTGTATAAATGACTGCCAAAAAATCTCTAATCTGATTTGAGGTGAGCAGAGAAATAAGGCTGAATTAATATTATAGATGATGTAAGGACAAATCCATTTTATCTTACCTTGCCTTAAGGAAACAAAAGCACCTGAAAGTGACCGGGTTTGTTTGACCTCTTAAGTCAGAGATGCAACTGGGAGTCCTACCTGAGAGTTTTAACTCTAGGCTGTGGTGTCTTCCTTTGGTGAATAGTATGTACATTCAGTCAAAAGAGGAATAATTGAATTAACCTAGCCCTTGATGGTTGTGCAGAATGTATGGATTACCAAGGAGACAGCTTGGTAAATTTTGTGTGTCTGGTGCTGAGCTCATTGACCCAGTAATTCAGCATCAGGATTCTTTTGCTCCTACAATGTGTTGTAAAGTTCATGAGGTTTGCTGCTTCAGGAAGAAGCCATTGGAGAATGAGTTGAGGGGCTACAGGCTTTAATGTAGAACTCCAAGGACGTGGTACACCGGAGGCCCATAGGACATCTTTGTGATTGATAGAATAATTCAGAATGTGTCTACTTAATAAAAACCTATTGGAAGGTTTAAAAAAATGTGACTTTTAAACACATAGATGCTCACAAACAAGAATATTTTCTAAGTGTTTTTGAAAGGAATGAATGAATGACTTCTGATTAGTTTTATTGAGGTAAAGAATTAGCTTCTAAGATCCTTTCTTAATCAATAAACCTTCAGTTTGCCCTGAGAAAGCTAGCCTAGGAAGAGCATGTCCTCAGTAGCACAAATTTTGATTATATGTATTTAAGACAAATATTAGATGTCTTGGATAACCTTGGCAGTAGCATGATACTGTTCACATAGTGAGTAATGCATATGCATCTGTGTAAGTAGCAAGTTTAGGTTGTGTGTTAATGTCCATATTTTCTATTTTGTGTTGATAGGTTTTTGATTATAGGGGTATGTACCTGCTTTTCTTTATTTCTTTCCCTTTCCCCCAAGTCCTTTGTAAGAAACCTCCCATGGGACTTGTATTTACTACTTTTGTAACCTAATTAGATTGTGAATAACATTGATTTATTTGTCTATTGATCTGGAAGTAGTAGAATTTTTATTTTTAGTTTTTAGTTTAGTTTTTTTTTTTGTTTGTTTTGCTTGAGCTGTTATGACCTTCCAAATAGTTTGGCTTCTGTAGAAAATGAAATAGTTACAATAATGCTTTCTTCTATGTTCTTTCTGTAGTTAATTTTCCACTGTTAGGCTATTTCACAAATTGTTATGGTTCATTTACTAAAGAAAAAAAACTAAACTATTGTCTCTAACTATTACTACTAGATCACCTCTAATTGCATTCTGGTCTAGCACAAACCTGCTGAGTGTTGTTCAGCTGGGAGACTTCCCAGGGAAACCCTGCAGTTGTGTTGGCAGGATTTGTATGAGTCACCTGCCTGGGCCAATCCTGACTCAACATTTTTTTTTTTTTTTTGGCCATAGGCTTTAATTTTCCAGGCTTTGTGGATTTTTGTTTGTGTGTATATACCCCCTTTGCAGAGAGATTCCCAAACTTTAATGACCAAAAGGTAACTAACTTGTCACATTTTTGGATGAAGATCTGATTAATACTAGAATTTGAGACTTCCTTCAATTTCATCTTTTCCTTTTGCTATTAAAAAATCTACCTTATCTTCAGTAGGTTGGATAGAAACATGACCCTCTTTACAATCCCTTTTGATGTATTTCACTGCAACTTGTCATACCTGCCCCCCCCAAACAAACAAACAAACATACACCAACGTGCCGTATTTAAACAAATCCCTAATTTTTAAAAATACTCTCTTTTCTGTGTGTATAGGTTACTTGGTTGTAAAGTTCTTGGCAACTTTTAATGAAAATCTTGCCCTATGACAGTTAACCTAATTGTATTATCTCCCTTCCTTCCTTTCAAGATCTCATCGGTTAGTTTCAGACCTAGTTTTCCCTTCACATTTTTCTGTTGAGCATCAGCCTGATTTTGTAGCCTTGTGCTTGTAGTGTTTGTGCTGCATGTTAGCATCTGGTGATTTGGGTGTTGTAACATGCTTGATACATCTTGTGCTGTATGCTCATGGTAGGTTTGAGTGGCAGTAACATGGCTTTGTTCAACTTTTTTTAGTTATCAGCTCATGCTGTCATCGGTGACTGATTTGATGACTGGATCTGGGACTCCCCTTTGCAAAGTAAATGACTCTAGTTCAAGATATCCTAAGACTTAGTTAAGAAGTGGTTCCCAAAGCAAAGGGTGAAGTAATACTTAGTGAATTGGTAATCTTGGCAATGAGGATATTTCATTTAAGGGTGCATTCTGCAAATCATCCACACCTTTTCATCATGTGTTATTCTTGTTCATATCCTCCCTTAAGGGCAGTGCGTGGCAGATGCTTAATAAATGTTTATTGACTGACTAGCCGACGTAAGTATCTAACCAGTGAACTGGAGGACCTTTAAATCCTTATAGACCTTTAATATTCTGTGGTTACTGGGGCTATCTGTCTTTTGATACATGAGTGGCCAATCTCCTGGGTGACATCTTTTTTCTATTTCTCGCATGCAATTCATCACTGGTAATATGCTGCAATTTACTTGGGCCTACCATTGCTCTTTGGGTCACCTGGGATTTTGGTTCTTTGGAGACTGAAGGGTTATATGACTCGTAGTCAAATAGCATCATCATCAAGTTTGCCATGAGACGATGATTCTTTGGCCCCAGCAGCCTGTGAAACAAAGAGTAAGGGTAGAAAAAGATGGTTCCATCTTTTATTGAACAAAATTTCAGCCTTCTGTTCAGAACAGAAAGAGAACTATGTGTGTGAATTTATGTGTAGCCTAACTTAAACTGTCCCTAAATCTAGATGTCTATAAGAATATTAGAATTGAAGGGGTACTTAGAGAATATATAGCTCAGCTCTTTCATATACAGATAAGGAAAATGACTCAGAGAATTTTGCTCAAAATTTCACAGCCAGTTAGTATCAGAGTTGGGTTTAAAACTTACCTCCTTGGCCAGTGTTCTTTTTATTACAGTGTTCTGACTCAGCTTGTTTGCTCTGGGAACCTATAGCAACTGCGTAGACTTTATCAGTGCTTGCTTCTAAGATTATGATAAACTTTTGATTTTTTTAATTTGGGCTTGTGGGATTTAAAAAGTTTTTTTTTTTTAATTTTTCTAAGGCAGGGTCAGTTTTTTTTTTGTATAGTATAGAACTTTATATGAGGGAAGGAACAATGTCCAACTTCTATTTTAATGTCCTTGACCTAAACACCCAAGTTATTATTTTGAATGAGGATTTTTTTTTGTTTCATTGATTTTTTTTACATTAGTAATTTCCTAATATCTTTCTTTATAATAACAAAGCAAAACAATTAAGCAAAACTGACAAAGCAGTCATACCTGACAATGTATTCAGCAGTTTGTATCTGTAGTTCCTCAGACTTCTACCAAGAAACGCCTTTAATCATCTGTTCTCCAGGACTAAAATTGGTCACTGCAATTAATCTGAATGTCATTGCCTTTTGTTTTGAATTTTTTATTGCTGTCATTGTTAGACACTCATATTGAGACAAAGCAGAGAAGTCAAGGAAGGCAGCCTGCCTGCCTGCCCTCTGTGAGTGTTGGGAATTTTGTTGTTTGCTGTATTAGAATAGATTCCTTTCAGCAAAGGGCAGTCTGGATTATAAATCCTTGCTGTGTTGCTTGTTTACTGAGTAGGCAAACATCTCTTAAGCTGGTGGATGTGTAAACATGTCAGTAGTAGACATGTCTAGTATATAATCAAGCCAAAACATTTTTTTATAATTATGCTTTCTAGGGTTATATTAAAGCCTCTTAACTTACAGGTCTTACCTGTATTTGCTGTCTTTGCTCTTTGGAAATGTCAGGTCTTTATTGTTATTTCTAAATGGTTTGTGGGGCCCTTCTGTTAAGGTCTTCCCTGAACATCTTTTTAAGACAGAGAAAGTTTTGTTTTGTTTTACAACTTTCAGATAATCCGCTATCTCCATGTACCATATGCTTGGTGCTTCTTAATTCAGTGGAAAGGTCATTAATACTAAAATGGGAGCTTGTAACCCCCTCCATACCCACATCTCCAACCTGTTAAGCCATTTATGTTCTCCCTTGATTGAAGCTGATTAGGCTGTTGCTGAGCATTTGTTAAGTGTTTGGGGCATTAGATGGAAACTAGAAAGTGTGTATAATTTCAAATGTTATCATATCTCCTGTTCAGTCTGGTACTAGATTTTTTGAGCATATTTATATAATGAATATATAACAGAGTCAATTTAGAGTCATAGGCTGTCAGCCTCTTGTCATATTTTATGATGTCTTTTTCCTCCCCTCTTTTCTCCTATTCTTTTTTTTAAAATAGCATAACTAGGAATGTAAACAATGGAACAGATTTTGCAAAAACTCCTGTAAGATCATAACTTAGTGCTTCAAACTTTTAGTTGTGGGATACATCAATAGTTTTGAGGGAAAAGTTGACTGGCAGTGCCTCTATTCCCTACAGATTCTGCTTTTTCATCTCTTTTATCCATTTTCGTTCCACAAGAATGAGAAAATCTCCCATGTTTCCTTTTGTGGTAGAAGGCGGAGGCTTATCTTTAGTATTGATTAGGAAAGAAGTCTGCACTTGATTTGTTGTTAAAAGCTGAACTAGACAATGTTTACCAGAGGCTCCTGTTCAGTTGTTTTGGTTTGAAGCTTCTAGAACTTTATACACCTTGGTGTCTAGGAAAGACACATAAAAGAAGCTCCTCTTTCCACATTCCCCACTATTCCAACAGTGGTATTAGCCCTGGAAGAGAATCCTTGAGTTTGTTTACAGGTACCCACCCTTTAGATTCAAACTACTTGGCATATCCCTTGTGTTGCTTTCTGCCAAACCACTTACGTGAGTGGTTATCCCACTGTCTCTTCTTGATGTTTATTATGTTAGGTATCCCCCTCTACACCTTCTATCCTCTCTTTGATTTGGATCTTAAGCATGACTAGTAAGAGTAGTGTGTGTTGTACGTAATGACAGCTTTGCATGCTATTTTACAGTGTACACGTGTCTCACAGCCCAAATGCTCATATAAGCATTGCACCAAAGGCAGTCATAATCATGTTTTTCCTTTGTGGCACCTGATAGTTATTTTACTAATTCACCTTCCTATCTGATTAAAAAAATACAAAACAGCAACAACAAAACTTTCTCTGATGTAGGAGGTCATCAGAGCAGAGTGTCATAGGTGGTTTTGTTTTTATTATAACATTCCGAATTATTAAACATCATGTTTATAGTCCTTAAAAAATCTCATGTTCACATTTTCACTCAAGTATATAGCAGATGACGCAAAATAACCTACACAGATCCTTTTTAGCTTTAGATCCTTAGGAATATCCATTTTGATTAATAGACTACAGAGTAATTCTCTTTGGTGTCTGAGTTTTGTCATTGTTGCACCTGAGATTTGGAATGGAGTAAGAGAGCAAATCATTCCATCAGATTTTCTGATGGACCCAGCCAGCGGCCTGGGTTCATCCAGTTCAGTTTCCCCAGAGTTAGGAATTCATGTAGTCTCCAGCAGAACTCGATACTGTGAAGAGCTCAGCATATTAACAGTTACATTGGATGTAGTTAGATTGATTCTTTGTACAACCAAAGCTGTACTTACTGTCTTATGGACTTACAGGTGTAGTTCTTTAATCACCACCTAGATAGAGTTGCTAGAACTAGGGAGTGGGTCATTCTCGAAGGCTTATGGGAAAGGATTTCAGCAGAGCTTGCCCCTGCTCTGTGTTTGTAGTACAGTCATTCATTTCCATAGATATGTAGATAGACTCTTACAGAATTGCTCACTGAAATAAGAACAGTTGAAGTGCTTGTAAAATGACTACTATCAAGAAACTAATAAAGAATACAGCAGATGAATGCTCGCTTATCCATAGCTGGAGGACATGCATGACTTTGGCTGGCAGTTTGGGGTTCCCAGCTTCTCCGTTACTAATCTTTCACTGTCTTGGTTTTTGTTGTCTCAATAGTTTCTTCGAGTCACAAAGCAGTACCTCCCACATGTGGCACGCCTGTGTCTTATTAGCACCTTCCTGGAAGATGGCATCCGAATGTGGTTCCAGTGGAGTGAACAGAGAGACTATATTGATGCAACCTGGAACTGTGGCTATATCCTCGCCTCCATCTTTGTGTTCCTAAACTTGCTTGGGCAGTTGAGTAAGTGACTAGAAAGATCTGCTTAGGTTTCATACTTGGTTGTCTGGCTAACAAAGTCAGTAGGGAAAAGTGGGTGTTTTTGTCCTTTCATTTATATTGTATTAGAACTCCATCACAGTCAGAAAATGGAGATCATATTGAGTTCCTGAGGCTTTAAAGGCTTCTGTTCTCTATGAAATTTCTTCATTATTAGCAAACACATAAGTCTGTGTTGGCATTGTAGAAAATAACAAAGAAGAATTAGGCCCTAGCCCAGCTCTAAGGGGAGCTTAGCCTTAAGGGTTGGATAGACCAGGTGAAATAGCTAGCCATAATAAGATAGTATATAATTTAATTGTGAAAAAATGAGAAGTGTAATGTGCTATAGGGATTCAAATATAGATTAAGTTTGTCAGGCAGAGAAATAAAGAAATTTATCATGGAGGAAGTTAAAATTCTACATAGTGAAGTAATTGACTATGTTTATTACTAGATAATTGGCCTTTTAAAATTATTCATTCTGTAAGCCCTCATGTGGTCCCCTACTTGGACCAGCACGCTTAATAACTAAGATCCCATGAACTCATCCTTGGTGCTGTCTTATTTTTACAATACTAAAAGCTCCTAGTGGTTGTTTTTAGTTGGGGGGAGTGTTTTTCTGCCATAATTATAAGGAAAAATTACAGTACCTCTTGAAAATGGTAGTTACTTATTTTCTTAGTAGTCATTAATTCTTACCCTCCTATCCCACTTCTCAGCTGGCTGTATCTTGGTATTGAGCAGAAACTTTGTACAGTATGCCTGCTTTGGACTCTTTGGAATTATAGCATTACAGGTAAGTTGGAATCTTCGTCTTGCTTTTTGTGGTCTAGTGCAGTAAGGCTTTTTGAAAAACTATTTTTGATGTCTGCCTATCACCCACAAATTTGCTATTTGACTGCTAGTCACCCCTCCCCCTCTGAAGATACATAAGATTTTTCTAGAAACAGCATTAAAAGAGCCCAGTTAGCTGAAAAGTGCCTTTGAATTCTTTCTCTTAAAATACTTCTCAAATGCCTGGGTACCTACTATGCCCTTTTTCTCTTTTACCATTTTGCTAAGTTTCAGTTGCTACATGGGTAATATTGAGGTGAATTTATAGGCCAAATTTTCTTGACATTTAACTGTATCAAGAATACTTGTTCCTTTAACTGTCTTATGTAATGACACTATAAATCACCAGAGCCAATGTGCAATCATGTCTTTAAGCTAAAGCATGGTAATTACAGACTTCCTCTGTATTCCATTAAACAACTTCTGGTATCTTGTAAAAGTAATTTGAATAGTTCTTCTGGGGGGATAGACAAACAAGAGTTTGAGAATTCCAAGACTAATACTACTCCTTCTTGGTTTTCTTCAACAGACAATTGCATACAGCATTTTATGGGATCTCAAATTTTTGATGAGGTATGTTCATTGTGATTGTTAAGATGGATAAAGGTTGGTTGCTTTTTTGGTGTCCCTACAGTCAGGCACTGTAAGAGCTTAGAGTGAAATGGTAGGAGTAGACTCCCTTTTCCAGGACAGATAGGTTCATAAATGTTTGGCGTAATCTCATCGGTGCCACTTACAGACAAGACTTCTAGACAGCTTCAGAATGTTAGAGCTGGAAGGGGCTTAAAGCATCACTTGGTCCAGTTTTCTCACTTAATAGCTGTGGAAGCTAAGGTTTCAAAGAAATGTGTTCTGGATCCGTCAGTGAGTTAGTAGCAGAACTCAGATTGGAACCCAGGTGTTTTATTTCCATGATCTTTCTACTGTACTGTGCAGACCTATTTGTTAATTGCCTCATCTAGGATGGTGTAGCTTGTAGGGAGTTTTGGTTATACAGCAACTTTGATGGTTTGCTCGTCTTTGAGCACGTAGGGAAGAGGGAAACATTTATTAAACATCTACTGTGTGCCAGACAAGCTGTGTTGAGCACTTAACGGTATAATCTGATTTGATTCTCACAACAGCTCTTCAAGTTAGGGTTATTATCCCCATTTTGTAGTTGAGAAAACTGGAGCACAGAGAGGTTTAGTGACTTGCCTAGGTCACATAGCTAGTAAGTGTCAGAGGCCAGATTTGAGCTCAGGTTTTCCTGATAGCAGACCCAATGCTCTCTGCCTACTTAGAGAGCTAAAGAAAAGAAAAAGAGTTACAGTCCTTAAACTGATGAAGAGATTTCCCTATCTGGTTTAGTATTAGTTGGCTTTTTCAAGGCCCAGTGGGTTTTGATTTTTGGCAAATAGTTTTTGATATTTTTGTTTCCACTCCTCTTGCTCTCCAGGAACCTGGCCTTAGGAGGAGGATTGCTGCTGCTCTTGGCTGAGTCCCGATCCGAAGGGAAGAGCATGTTTGCGGGCGTCCCCACCATGCGAGAGAGCTCACCCAAACAGTACATGCAACTTGGTGGGAGGGTGTTGCTGGTCCTGATGTTCATGACCCTTCTTCACTTTGATGCCAGCTTCTTTTCTGTAAGTGCTTTTAATCTCCTCAAAAAAATCCGCCGGTATTCTTCAAAACAGGATGTTTCCATTGATTTCTTGGTAGCCACTTAATATCTTGGTCCTGACTTATTTTCCTGGGTACAAGGCATTGGAATGGGGATTTACCTTCTATATGTTGTCTGTCTCAACTACTGGTGAGTGAGGAAGGTAGTAGAGCTTCTGAGCCCATAAAGAATTGATACCTGCACATAGGTTTGAGCACTTGGTGCAGCTAGTGTAGTGTAGCCTTTCCTGTAGGAGCAAAGTCAAGCATTTGCCTTGTCTTTGGAGTTGGCTCCCTAGGGAGTCTTCACTAAAAATGTAAATAAGTGTATGTATGTGTTTTTTTTTTTTTAATGAGGCAGGGAGGAATACACATAATTTAGGCAGATATCAGAGTCCTTAGTTGAATGAGATCTGAGACTCATCACCCTAATATTTTTTTTTATAAAGGGCTGCTTTTCATTTCTGTGAAGCCTGCAGATAATGGGGAAGGTTGGTACAAGGAAGGGAGTGTCACATATTTTTGATAGTCATTCAAATAGACTTTCGTGAAGCATCAGTGTGAAGGCAACTTGTAATGATAACCAGTTTGACTATCTATTAGGTGAGGCATTATGTTGATACTGGCATAAATACAAAGTTTAGATCAGATACTGAGATTACTGGCTTGGGGGTTCTAGCACAAACCTAGGCAATGTGTATTAGAGAGGTATAATATAAAGTGTTGAGTGACACCTGAGAGTTACTGCGGCCCAAGGTAATCCAAGAAGGCTTTGTGGAGGAAGTGATACTTTGAATTTGTCTTTAAAGGACAGGCAAAAAAAGAAGTAGAGGAGAGCAAGCATTCCATTTATAGGGGTCATTGTGAGCAAGGACATTGGAGGTATAGGGCACATTTTGGGGAACAGAGTAGATCAATTTGGCTAGGAGCAATAGAGTGGGCTGCATTTAATAATGTGGCATAAGGCTGGAAGAATGAAATGGTATCTCATTATGGAGGGCCTCGAATGTGGGACTAAGGACTTTGAATTTTACTTGAAAGACAGCAGCAAGGACTCAAAATTTTGAGCAGAGGAGTGACATGATTAGAATCACAATTAGAATGTGTTAGAATGATTATTTTGATACTAATGTGAAGGATGGTTTGGGCTAGGGAAAGTGTGGTAACAGGAAGACCTGTTAGACTGTTGCTCTTGGTAATGAAGGCCCATGCTAAAATGCTAAGAAGTGAGTAGAGGAAGGTCCTTGAGAATAAAGGGTGCAGAGTATTGCAGAAACAGAATTTGTAGAACTTGGTATCTAATTGATTAGACAGGGAAGTGAAAGAGGAGTCAAAGGTCAACCTGAGGTTATAAGCTTGGAAGACTAGTGACTTTAGAAGGAAGAACAGCCTTAGGGGAAAGTGACCCTTGGTTTCAAACTATAGACTTGTAGACAGAAATATCCCTCCCATAAGGAGGAGCAGGTGTGGGGCTTAGAGATGTTAGGGCTAAATACAGAGGAGTTATCAAATAGAGATGATTAAGGGGCAGTTGGATGGTGCAGTGGATAGAGCACCAGCCCTGGAGTCAGGAGGATCTGAGTTCATATTCAGCCTTAGACACTTGACACTTACTAGCTGTGTGACCCTGGGCAAGTCACTTAACCTCAATTGCCTCACCATAAAAAAAGCAAAAAAAGAGAGAGAGAGAGAGGTGATTAAGATTGCCACAGGTGAGAGAGGAGAGTGTCAAGGGAAAATCCTTAGGATTATAGCCAAGTAGAGAGGTCACAAGGAGTGAATGAAGGAAAGAGAAGAGTAATTGGAGAGATAATAGGAGAGCCAGAGTAGTATAGTGAATCCAAGAAAGGAGAGAGTATCTAGGAGGCATAAATGGTCAGCCAGATGGGTCAAAAACAGCATTGGTTGGGGCAGGTAGGTGGCACAGTGGATAGAGCCCTGGACCTGGATTCAGGAGGATCTGAGTTCAAATCCGGCCTCAGACACATAACACTTACTAGCTGTGTGACCCTGGGCAAGTCACTTAACCCCATTGCCTAGCCAAAAAAAAAAATAGCATTGGTCACTAGGCTTGGTGATGAGTAGGCCAGTCACCTTGTGGAAAAGCAGTCTTGTTGGAGTGGTGGAGGTGCTGACATTGGAATAGTTTAGCTAGCAGGAAAGTGAAAGGAGATATGGGGAAGAGAGTAACTGGGTGGACTGTTAGAATGGTTAAGCGAAGACTTTTAGAATTAGTGAGACCTGAGCATGTTTGTAGGCAGATGGAGAAGAGCCCATGAAGAGAAACGAATGGAAGATGCATGAAACAAGGTGATAGCTGAAGTAAGATCTTGGAGAAGGCAAAAAAGAATGGGATTAAGTGGACAGGTGGAAGAATTAGTCTTTATGAGGTCTTCCAGCTGGTATTTCTTACTGCCTCTAGGGATTTTTTCCCCTTTATTCATGGAAGTGTTCAGGTCCTGCTTTTGTCTTTTCTATCTAGTTCATTTATTCTTTAATCTTGAAAGTTCTCATCTTATATTGTATTTGGTAGAAACCCTTGTTCTCTTGCTAGATAACAAGCATTAACCATATTATGTTTGTTTCAGCAGCAGATCTCTCCGCCTTGACAGGGTATAAATATCTACTTTAAACATAACATTACAAACCATCAAGCAAGGGCTAGGTGACCAACTATGTATATTATAGAGGCAGTTCTTTTTGAGGTGTGAGTTGGAGCAGGTAGCCTCTAAGATTCCATCATTCTCTCCCCTACATTAATCTTGAATTTTCTTTATTTTGAACCAATACAGATTCTTCAGAACATCGTGGGCACTGGTTTGATCATTTTAGTGGCCATTGGTTTCAAAACCAAGCTAGCTGCCTTGACTCTGGTCATCTGGTTGTTTGGCATCAATGTCTATTTCAACGCTTTCTGGACCGTCCCAGTGTATAAGCCCATGCATGACTTCCTCAAGTATGACTTCTTCCAAACCATGTCAGTGATTGGAGGCTTGCTTCTTGTGGTTGCCTTGGGCCCTGGTGGTGTCTCCATGGATGAGAAGAAGAAGGAGTGGTAACAGCCCCCCATGTCCCTGCCCTGTGAAAAACCAGTGGCTATCAAGGACAGTGTGGATTCAACAAAACTGCCAGCATTTGCGTACCTGACTCCCTTCCCCTGGTAAAGGCACAGATGTTTTGAGAACTTTATTTACAGTGACACAATCTGAAATTGATGGTTAAATCTGCTTTGGAGGCATGCTCAGTCCCAAATTTTAGTATTTTTTTTAGGCTGACCAGCCTGAACAGTTAATATATCACCCTTTAGCCAAGGGCTCTTGAAATTCTTCTGCATGGGCAGCTTGGCTGATCCTGGCCTTTGTTTATATTTTTATTTTTTTGGGGGGGAGGGGGGAGAAACGAACCTTCAAATTGTACTGTGAGCAGATACACAACTGTATCATTCAATGTGGTGGTCTCTGTTTTTTTGTTTACATTTTTAGCTAGAACTACTAACTGATTTGAGATGCCCTGGCCAAACATTACATTATTTTAAAACTTCCTTATAAAAAGAATTCTCTCCTATAGTGGCTTCAATATTATTTTTCACATTTTGTAGGAAAAATGATTTAAAATAAGACAAACAAAAGCCCAAAGAAATACAGTATTAACACTCTACTAGAACTGACACAGTGGGGCCCCCATTAGGCAGCCACGTAAAGGGTAGCAAAAAGACACATCAGCACAGCTCTTTGGACTGGTCTAAGTCTTGTACAGTGTTTCCCCCACATCACTAAAGTTGCACTGATTTAGCTTTGGTGGCTTAAGATAGGGAAAGAGAGCCGGTTGAAGACTTTGTTTTAGGCACTGACTGCAGCAAGGCACCAGGGCCTTTTGGAATATAAGAGCAGGGCAGTTGCCCTGAGTGGGTTCACGGGCAGTGAACCAGACCTCATTGATACAATTGACATGGTAAGTGGTGGATGCTGTTGGAATGTAGCATCTCAGGTAGGATGATAGTGGCTTTTTCTAAAAGCTTTCTCCTAGCACCATTTGGAGGTGGGAGAAAGTTAGGCTTTCAAACCAATGCCTCCCATTCTTTTCTCACAGAGCAAGATCTTAGCTTACTGTGAAGCCCTGTTTGGGGTTCTGAATGGGTTTTAAGCAACTCCCATCACCAGACTTTTCCTTATGTTAAGGGATTTTTCCCAGGCTATGGCCAGAAACTGGGTTTTATCCCAGGGTCTACCATTTCAGGAGGCTGTTGCTTTGTTGTTCAATTTTTGATTTTTTTTTTCTTTTGCTATACCGTACACAGCCAAATTGAATTTTTAAAAAAATGTGTGATGCCTTACTGATTTGATCTTGATCCTGTATTTAAAGTTTTCTAACATTGCCTTATGCTGTGTTTCTCTTTTTCGGGGGGCAGTATATTAGTTGTTGCAATCCTGTATTTAAGAGTGTCCCTGTGTTTTCTATTGTAGTCTAAAGCTACAGAGGGATAGTTAGAACCTCTCTTGCAGTGCCTCCCCTATTCCTCAGATCCTTTCTGTGCAGCCAAATTGACGTTACTCTGGTAACAGTGGGCGAAGTGGCTTCTTTTTGATCTTGAGGGGATATTTAATACTGGAAATTTAGTTCCATTTGGGAGTTTCCAGGATCACAGCATCCTGAACTTTTTCAGATAGTAGTTCCTTTCCTACTGTAAGCCCTTCCCTGTAACGAAGGCGTGTAAGGCAGGGCCTGTCAACTGTCTTTGGGCCAAGAATCCCAAGTCTATACTTTATTTATGCTTGTCCCTTTTACTTATTAATGGGACTGTTTTAGACTCTTGGAAATTGCCAAGGATGAAGAATGGAAACCTTTTTCTAATTACTTGTACCTAAGGAGAAGGGGTGGAATTTCTGCTTGCTATTTCTCAAAGTATTATGTCAAGCTCTGTGACAGAGTTTTCCTTTCTACCCTCTCATTGCACACCGGACCCACGGTGCAGCTGGGAGGATTTTGTCCCTACCAAGCCAGCTAGCAAAACAGTGACCTCCTCCCTATTTCCTCAAGTATTTGTAAGATTAAGCTAAATAAGTTCAATATTCCCTTGATTAATTATCGAGATACTCATTTTAAGAAAGAGTGGTTTGTAAACAGTGTTTTAGCCAAAGAAAGGCAATTGTTTTGGTTCCACGTCCCATTTATTCCCTTCTCACTAATGCCATCTAGCACAGCAAGCCCATCAACTGCTACTCACAAGTTAAGATTTTTCCTTGTAAGCAACGTCTTTGCCAAGGCAGCCTGTTTTCTTTAGCCCCACTCTTCCACAGACTGGCTTTTTACTGTTGGAGAAGTGGGACTGACTCGAACACCTGAAACAGTGCTGCCTTCAGTGATCCTCCCCCACGATCGCAGCGCCCCTTCAGCTCTGCTGCTTCTCTTCTCCACTCTGTGATTTTAGTGGTCCAGAGCCTGGGGCAGGGACAGAAACTTGTATTTACCAACAATTGGCTTTGGCAAAAGTCTTCTGAATTTTTTTTTTTTTTGCTTCATGTGGGAAAGAATAGATATAAATCTCATTTTATGCTGTATTTTATATCTTAGTTGTATTTGAAAATGTTTTGATTTTGGAAACAAACATCAAAATAAAATAATGGCATTTGTTGTATCTAGTGTGACCACATAGTCAATGGAATGTCCAAAATGAGATTAGGAAATAAACGTGAGGCCAAAGAGGTAAAAGCTGTGATGATTACCACATGGGTTGCTTGAAGACATATCCTGTTGTAGTTAATCCTCACATAGACCGTACATCTGCATCTCAGCCTTAGCCACAAGGCATTATCACTTGTTTGGAGACAGAGGTGTAATACGATCGGTAGCCATGGGAGAACCCTAACAGGCGTTTACATAGCCACCGCTCTACAGGTAGCTCAGAATGGGCCATGCACCCCTCCCTTTTCCTTTGGCCTTCAAAGATACTACTACTTTCTTCATCAACTTTATTATTTCAATTACCAAAAACTTTATTTTGTTTCTGTTCCTCTTTTGAAGCGCTTAGGTTTTTGGTGGTGGTTCTTGAACTTCTTCATCGAAGCTGACTTCTATGATAGAAATGCAAATAATCAAAAATCAGTGTCAAATCTGAAAATTAGACTGGATTTTCTATTCTTGTGACATAAGGAAGATACTTGAATCTTGGGGCTAAACACAGCTTTTTGCCTTCTTTTCACCTAAAATAGCGCCAAGGAGTCATTCTAGAGATGAGAAACAAAGGAAAGCCCAGAAAGATTAATGCTACTCCCTACACACAGCCTTTCCTGATTCCTATGCTAGTTGCTAGTGTCTTACCCCCAAATTACCTTACATTTAGTTGATTATATAGATATATAAAATATATATACAGGTACATTTTCCCTGATAGAATTTAGGCTGCCTGATACATTGTTGATGTTGTTCAGCTGTTCACTCATGTCTGACTACATGTAACCCCACTGTGAAGTCCATAGGGTTTTCTTGGCAAGGATACTAGAGTGGTTTGCCATTTCCTTCTCCACTGTATTCCTATTTTACATATGAGGAACTGAGGCAAATATGGGTCAAGTGACTTGCCCAGGGTCACACCACCAGCAAATGTCCGAGGCTGAATTTGAACTCAGACCTTTCTGACTCCAGGTTCAGTGTTCTATCCACTACACCACCTAGCTGCCCCGATTAGGCCTGACACACAGGCCTAATATAATAATAAATAAATGATCATTGGTTGATTAGCTGCTCCATGACCTGCAAGTAGATAAAATAGCAGAGCTAGGATTTAAAATCAGGTTTTTACTCCCAATCTTATTACTTAACAGTGCCTGTTTGTGATTCCCTTCCAGCTCTTGGTTTAGATTTTAATCCTTGTAATGTTGTAAAAGGCAACATTTTAGTTACAAATAGCTTCTGCAAAAGTGATCCTATTCCATCCCATCTTCTTCAGCAGACTATCCTCTTTATCACCCTGACTGACTTTATCTTCACTCTCTCCCATTATCTATGGGGTGCTTTCCCACTGCTTACAAACACATCCACGTCTCCCCATCCTCAAAAACCCCCAAGTTGATCTATCCCATCTCCTTCCTCCCTTTTGTGGCTAACCTCCCTGACAAGGCAGTTTACAATAGATTTTATTTTCTCATTCTCTAAAGTTCGGCCTCATCATTCCACTGAAACTGCTCTCTCCAACGTTACCAAGGATATCTTTGTTGTTCAGTCATTTCAGTTGTATCTGACTCTTCGTGACCCATTTTGGAGTTTTCTTGGCAAAGATATTGTAGTGGTTTGCCATTTCTTTCTCCGGATCATTTTACATATAAGGAAACTGAGGCAACCAGGGTCATACTGCTAGCTTGTCTTTCTGACTGGCATTCTATCCACAGCCCCACCTAGCTGCCTGCAGGTATCTCTTAGAATTGCCAAATCTAATGCTCTTTTCTCAGTCCTCATCCTTGACCTCTGCAGCCTCTGTCTATTACCTTCTTCTTAATATTTTTTTTTTCTCTCTGGGTTTTTAGGATACTGCTCTCCTGGTTCTCCTAAATATCTGACCCATTCCTTCTCAGTCTCTTTTGCTGCATCTTCAGCCAGATTATGCCTGCTACTTAACCATGGGTGTCAAAAGTTTCATCCTGGTCCTCTTTGCTCTCTCTGTACTCTTATCACTTTGTGATCTCAACTCCCATGAAATCAATTAACCCATGATTCTCAAATCTCCTTATCCAGCCTTAACTTTCTGCTGACTTGTGGTCACACATCTCCCAATGCCTATTAGCCATCTTGAACTGGATATCTCCTAGACATCTTAAACTCAACATGCCCCAAACAACTTATCTTTCCTCCAAAACTCTTTCCTCCTTCCAAAATTCCCTATTACTTTCACTTACTAGTTACAAAATAGCACCAGTATCTTTCCAGGTACTTGCAAAAACCTGTCAATTTTACCTTCCTAACATCTCTAGAATACATTCCCTTCTCTCCTCTGATGTTGCTACTACCCAAGTGCAGGTCCTCATCTCTGACCACTACAACTGCTTTTTGGTTGGCTTCCCTTCATCAAGTTTCCCCACTTCAGTTCATCCTGTACTCTAAGAGATTTTCCTAAAGCACAGGTCTGATTATGTCCCCTCTCCCCAACAATCAATAAACTCTAATAGCTCCCTGTCATCTCCAGATCAAATGTAAAATCCCATTTGACCTTTAAAGCCCTTCACTACCTAACCTTTCCCATTCCTTTCCTGTCTTCTTACACCTCTGTCCTTACGTACCTTCTGTACACTGTGTCCCTCACCTCCCACACTCTTCCATCTAATGACACTGGTCTCCTTGCTCTTCTTTGAATAAGACATTCATTTCCTGACTGGAGACATTTTCACTGATTTGCCCACCATGTGTAGAATACTCTCCCTTCTGGCTTCCTTTAAGCCTCAATGAAGATTCCACCT